CACCGCCAGCTGTGGCCCCACCCAAAAAAAAAAAAAAAGAAACGATTATTTCCTGCAGTTTGCTGCTACATGGATGGACTTGGAGGGTATCATGCTGAGTGAAGTCAGAGTCATGAGGACAAACACAGGAAGATCTCTCTTGTGCGTGGAATGTAAAGTGACACAGAAAGGAAACTAAAAGCACCAGCAAAGGGGAACAGCCCCTGGGAGAAAGGCCACAGAACTGAGCTGACGACGAGACTGATAGAGGAAACAGGAGGGAACCTGGGGACCTAGGAAGCATCCCGGCACTCTGTGTGTGTATGGTGTTGGAACACCGTATGCCCGAAACACTTGCAGTACTGGAAACCATGGTGCCTTAACAATCTAAAAGATAGCACAAGCAGAGAGAGAGAGCGTTTGCCTTGCTCTCGGCCAACCCAGGTTCGATTCCTGGCATCCCATACGGTCCCTGAGCACCACGAGTAGAAATTCCTGAGTGCAGAGTCAGGAGTAACCCTAGAGCATTGCCGAGTATGACCGAAAATGTGTGTGTGTGTGTGTGTAAAACACCTAAAAGAAAAAAAAAAGAAATGTTTTAAGGAATCAGCTTTTGAAATACTAGAGGTGGGCCATGACAGAGGGAAGGTGCTGGCCTTGCTTGCTGCTGCTGGGCCCCGTCTGAATCTCCTGCACCACCTACGGGTTCCCGAGCCCAGAGTCAAGAAGAGTCCCTAAATCCCACTGGGTGTAATAACATACTGGAATTGTGAATATATTGGTCACGGTCATGGTCACGGTCCTCCCGTTATTCATCGATTTGCTCGAGCGGGCCCAGTAACATTCCATCGTCAGACTTGTTACTGTATTTGGCATAGTGAATACATCACGAGTAGCTTCCCAGGCTTTGCCATGCAGGCAAGATACTCTAGGTAGCTTGTCGGGCTCTCCAAGAGGGGAAGAGGAATAAAACTCCGGTTGGCCAGGCCGGCTGCATGCAAGGCAAACACCCTACTGCTCTGCTATTGCTCCAGCGTGAATATATTAATAAATAAATTCATGATTAAAATAATGAATTACAACTATTATAGAGACAATCAAGAAGCAGAAGAAATATGTTAATCAACAACTTTTACATAATCCTGAAGTTAAAACTATGATCCTCATTTCGCAGGGTTTATCTCTTGCAATGGAAAACCGTATTTCACATCTATTTCTCATAGGCGTTATGTCTGTTTTGGGTTTCAGTTTTAGGCCCACATCCAGTAGTCCTCTGGGCTGATTCCTGGCTCTGTGCTCAGGGGTAATCCCTAGAGGTACTTGGAGGACCAGGTGTGGTGCTGAAGACCATGTGCTTGGCTGCAGGCAAGCCAACTACCCACCTGTTTGACTATCTCTCCGTTGCCTCATAACCGTTTTCTTTTTTAAATTTTATTATTTTACAATGGCCCTCCCGTTGATCATCGATTTGCTCGAGCGGGCCCAGTAACGTCTCCATTGGAGACTCTGTTGTTGCTGTGTCTGGCATATCGAATACTCTCGGTAGCTTGCCGGGCTCTCCGAATGACATAAGATTTTTTACTGACAATGTAAACATCATCTCTTGATATGCCTGTGACCCACATTAAATTTTGTATATCAATTAATGGCTGAATAAATAGCAGTGCTCCAACATTATAAAAAAATATTTTGTATATCAAACATTGCTGAGACATGTTTAAATAAGCACTTTTTCAAATGTCACAGTTACTCCTATTCGCACACACTAAAATATTACGATCAATAGCCTATGAAAGTTGAGTGATGGGGAAATAAAGCTATTTAACTTTTTCTTAACTATGTCTCATAATGGAGACGTTACTGGGCCTGCTCGAGCAAATTGATGAAAAACGGAGGACAGTGCTACAGTGCTACAGTCTATACTGACTTTTGTGGTATGAATTACATCATTAAAAATAATATGCAGGGGCTGGAGTGAATAGCACAGCAGGTAGGGTGTTTGCCTTGCACGCGGCCAACCTGGGTTCAATTCCCACCAACCCATATGGTCCCCCCACCACCGCCTGGGGTAATTCCTGAGTGCATGAGCCAGGAAAAACCCCCATGCATCGCCAGGTGTGACCCAAAAAGCAAAAATAAATTAATTAATTAATAATAATAATAATAATATGCGGTCGGCAAAGCCTGGCAAGCTACCCATGACCTATTCGATAAGCCAAACACAGTAACAACAAAGTCTCACAATGGAGCCGTTACTGGGCCCGCTGGAGCAAATCGATGAACAATGGAAGGACTGTGACAGTTACAGTAACACACAAAGATGAATTTTCTCATGCCTCCTCAGATAAGACCAAGGTTTTTTTTTTCTAAACTAAAATCTACTAATGTTACAAATTAGTGTAACAAAATTAGTGTTACAAACTAATTTCAGAGCATCTGTTTTCCTTCAGTTTCCATTTGGGTTTGTACCCTTATTAGTTTATAATACTCAATATAATAACACAGCAGTAGGGCGTTTGCCTTGCCCACGGCTGACCCAGGTAACCCGGGTTCGATTCCTCCATCCCTTTCAGAGAGCCCAGCAAGTTATCCAGAGTATCTCTCTCACCCGCACAGCAAAGCCTGGCAAGCTAACTGTGAGGTATTGGATATCCCAAACACAGTAACAACAAATCTCACAATGGAGACTTTAGCCGGCCAGCTCCAGCAAATGGATGAACAATGGGAGGACAGTGCTACAGTGTTAGTCAATATAAACTGTGATACCTCATAACACCTTGAGAGAAAGAGTACTGTCCTACAAAATAGACTATACCTATTTTAATACAGCTAAGTTGCCTTCTATGATTTATATTTTTTGTATAAATTGTGATTACTCCTAAAGTCTGCTAAATGGTGGGAGTCATTAAAAATACATTAATCTGCATAGTTCTTACAAGTCAGAAAACCAAACTTAAATATCAAAAAGCTGTTGAAAAACAGCTGTTGGAGCAGATCAATTCCCCCTTTTAGTAAAGTATATAGAAAGATATATTAAATATGTGTTGCACATGTGTGCGAATGTATATATATATGTATATATATATACACAATCTGCTCCATCCATAAAGACAGATACCTAATAAACTGTTCTCAAACGAAAGGTAAAAAGTTTAAACATGGAGTACAACTCCCTCTGTACAAAGCTGTCCCTAGTCAACAAGGTTATCAATTGCTCTGTATTTAAAGATTAGGACCTAACAATAACCAAGATACAGAAAGAACTTAAGACATCATGTACTGGTGAACGGATATAAAATATCTAATACACATTTGATACGCACATTAATATTATTCTGCCAAAAGAAACAAATGAAATCTATCACTTGCCACTATGCATACAGGGAACTTGGGGCATTATGCAGAGTGGGGAGAGGAAAAAGCACCTCTAATCACTTAACATCAGGAAGCCAAAGCAACTGAGGCGCAGGAGATGGTTCAAGGGCTGGGCACATGCTTTGCATGCCGGGGCCTGGCAGCAGATTCCAGACAACTCAGGGTCCCGAGCATCACAAGAGAACCAACTATTAGACAGGCTGGGCCTGGTGGGAAGAAGTTGGTAAACAGTAAGGAAACTCTACCTACAAGACCAGAAAGTTCTGGGGATCCAGTTCGGCGTGATCAGTTAATAATATAGTCTTATTATTATTCCTATCATTGAAATCATTGAAACAGGAGCTCTCCGAGTGTTTTCGCCCCAAAGAAAGGAAAGGCAATCCTGTGACCGATGGAAGTGTCAGCTACAGCCCCAGTGGGAGTCACTCAGCAATCTTAAGCGTGCCAAATCAACACTTTGTCTTCAACACACACGCTCTTCTCTGTCGAGGGCATCTCCACAACGCAGCGGGGCAGGGAGGCCTGATGAGCAGTGCCCGAAATGGGAAAGGAAGAAAAACCACGTCCTGAAATTAAGTTACCTCTAAAGTCATTACGGAGTAGCAGGGTTTGGGGGCACAGTTGGCCGCTAAACGGATTTGGAGTCCAGGAAACTGAGTCTGCTGAGACTCGGGGTAATTAACGGGATTGTCAGGGAGTCTGGAGGACCCCGACCTGGCGCTTCTCGCCAACAGGGCTGTCCTGGGTGACCTGATTTCCTCCTGCCCCCCGACAGTGCCCTCCTCCCCAACCGCGCCCTGGCCCTTTGTGTGGGTGTCCACTCGCTCCCACCCGGCCCTCCCCGGCCTTGTCCGTTTCCGAGCGTTTATCAGCACGGCGGGGGCCTCCCCCCTTGCTGCCCGCCCCAAGTCCTGGGGGGGGCCCCCGGGGCCCGCCCGAGCCTCCCCGGGTCGCTTCCGAGGCGGGATCCCGGCGGCGCCCCAAGCCACAAATCAGAGCCGGGACCCGGCCCGCCGCCACCCGCCCCAGCCCGGGTCCCCGGCCCCGAAGCGCAGGAAACGCCCCAACGCGGCCACTTCTGAGTCGGCGCGCCGGGTCCCGTGCAGACCGTTGTGGGGCGCGACCCCATGCCCGGCCCCGCGGCTGCTGCACTGCGGCCTGCGGCGCCCCGACACCCCCACCCGGGCGCCCACGCTCCCCGACACCCACATCCGCGACCCCCCCCGCACCCCGACACCCCCTCCCGGTCGCCCACGCGCCCCGACACCCCCACCCGCGCCCCCACGCGCCCCGACAGCCCCACCCGCGCCCCCACGCGCCCCGACACCCCCAGCCGGGTCCCCACGCGCTCCGACACCCCCAGCCGCGCCTCCGTCCGCCTCGACACTCCCAGCCCGCGCACCCCGACACATCCAGCCGGGGTCCCCCAGTGGTGCCCCGACATCCCCCCAGCCGCGCCCCCGCGCGCCCCGACTTCTCCCGGCAACCCTGGGCGCCCAGACACCCCCAGCCCGCGCCCCCGCGTGCCTCGACACCCCCAGCCCGCGCCCCCGCGTGCCTCGACACCCCCTGCCGCGCCCCCGCGTGCCCCCCGACACCCCCAGCCCGCGTGCGCCCCGCGGAGCCGCCCCGGAGCCCCCGCTCACCGATGTCCCCGTCCTCGTCGTCGTCGTCCTCCATGTCCAGCAGGACGTCCCTGGTGATGCGGTGCATGGCTCCGGGAGGCGGCGGGACGGGGGCGCGCGGTCTGGCTTCAGGGGACCCGCCCGGCTGGCCCGAGTCTGGCGCTTTGCGCGCGGCCGGCAACGGAGCATGCCCAGTCGGGGCGCGGCGCCTTTAACTGCTCGCACAAGGAAGTCGGAGGCGTGCGGGAGCCGCGGGCGGGGCGGGGCTGGGGACCCCGCTGAACCCGCACCCTGGCGGCCCCGGGCGCCCGGGACTTATAAGGGCACGTCCCGGGCGCGCTCCGATCTCTGTTCCCGGGGCGCGCGGCGATGTGGGGGGGGGCCCAGTGGAGCTCCCCGGAGCGTCTCCCCAAAGTGGGGGCGAGGGGAGCCCGCAGGGGAAAGGGGAGAGTGAGATGCAGGGGGGAGGCGGGAGGCGTTCAGAACCCCGAGAGCGAAAGGGACGCGCACCAAAGGGGGATGCGCTGGACGCGCCCCCTAACCCCCACCCCACCCCCACCCCCACCCCCGGTTCCTTGCCTCCCTCCGGAGAGAAAAACTTCAACTCCGAGTCTTTTAGGGAAAAAAAGGGAGAAAGAAGCTACGAATCTGGGCGGAGAGGGCCCAGGGTTAAAGGTCTTGCCATGCCCGCTTCGCCCTGGCCCTGCCCGTTGGGTCCTGGCACCGCTTGGGTCCCCACGGAGCCAGGAGTGGCCCCCGTCTCGCCCCAAAAGCCAGGGATTGCCTCTTTCATCAGATACAAACTCTGTTCCTGAAGCGGGTTGAGAAGCTGTTATAGTCTAAGGAAACCAGTTAATGAAAGGGCATAAGGGCTGAAAGTGAAGGAATCTATTTCTTCAAAGGAAACAGGAATTCCTATTTCTAAGACACATAGAGTATTTGGAACTGCGGGTTCCTTGGATTGTTTATCTGCAGAATTTTTTTCAAAGAAGTTGGTAAATTCACATGGGTCCAATCTGATTTTTTTTAAAGGGCTAGAAGGTGCATTTCATGGAATCCTTGTTATATTTGTCAAACACTGCTCATTAAAACGTTTGTGCTTTTTTTAACCACTGAAATGTGAGAATGATTACAAAAACGTTAAATCGGCATTTTATTCTTCTACTTGGTTATTTTGATGTTTTTATGAAAGAGAAACAAAACTGAGACTGGTCAAAAGTGGGAAAACAGGCCTGGATGTGCTTTTAGAATATACGTAGGTAGTAATATATGTGCCCCTTAAAGTTCCTTTATGAGCTAATAGAATTGATCTTAACATAATGAGAAAACAAAAAGCTCTGAAGAAAGAATGAGGTGAGAGAGAGAGAGAGAGAGAGAGAGTAATAAGAAGAAAAGATTGTAAGATTCTAATGAACTTTCTCTCCAAAGTTGTGGGTCTTTTCAAAGAGATAGGGGCTTATAATCAGCTTGCACACCTTTTCTTTCTTTCTTTCTTTCTTTCTTTCTTTCTTTTTTTAAATATATATGTGTCTCCTATGTGCTGGGCAAAGTTCTAAATGTTTTACAAACATTCAGTCCTGTGATCCTCACCTTAACTCCAGAAGAAGTTCCCAGAAGTTCCCACTTTCATTCCATCAGAGGGGCACTGGGTGGTGAAACTACTCAAGCCCAAGTAGCTCATTCCAGAATCCTTGCTTTAGCCACTTCAAAAACACTTTGAATTTTTGAATTTCTGAATCCATTTTTCAAAAGTCACTTTTCTCCACCCACCCATTCTAGGCCCCCCAAATCCCATCAGCTCCCTGCCACAGTTCTCTTGATAAATAGTTGAGATTTTATGGCCTAAGAATTGACTCAAAGTTATTTGCAGTTAGAACTCTTTAGGCTGTTTTCAGCCATAGGTTGCAATGAGCCATTTGAAATTCTTTGCAGATTTTAGTCTCCATTTCTCTTACTTGATAATGTTGCAAAGACAAAAGGTAACTGTTGCTGGAAGAGAAGTGAATTACTCCCTTAGATTAGCAGCCTATCTGTTATTAGTAAATTCTTTTCTTTTGTGTAATTCATTTCATTTCCTACAGCTAGCTACCTCATTTACTTGGGAAATTGGGTGGGGCAGGACACGCCCTGGCACACCCTGCAGTGGTCAGGGCTATTCCTGGCCCTGTGCTCAAGGATGACCCCTGGTGTTGCTCAGGGACCCTGTGCAGTGCCAGGGATCTAATTTGGAGCCGCTGAGTAAAAGGGAGTTATCCTGGTCAGAGCCATAGTCCATGCATGGGGCATTTGCCTTGCACATGGCAGACCTGGGTTCGATCCTCAGCATTCCATGTTCCCCAGAGCACTGCCAGAAGTAATTCCTGAGCGCAGAGCCAGGAGTAACCCCTGTCCATGTTGCTTATGACCCCAAAACAGAGAGGGATGGAGGTGGAGAATCTTACCTCCTGTTTTATTTCTCTGGCTTTTTTTTCCCTCTTTAATTAATTGAATCACTGTGAGATACAAAGCTGCTCATGATTGGGTTTTAGTCATACAGTGCTCCAACACCCATCCCATTTCCCACCAACTAATATCCCCAGATTCCATCCTGCCTCCCCCAACGCCTGCCTCTATGGTGTGTTCTCTCTCTCTCTCTCTCTCTCTCTCTCTCTCTCTCTCTCTCTCTCTCTCTCTCTCTCTCTCTCCCTCTCCCTCTCTCCTGTGACATGCAATCCATGTATTTTTTTGTAAGGTAAAGGTAAAGGCCCTCCCGTTGATCGTCGATTTGCTCGAGCGGGCCCAGTAACGTCTCCATTGGAGACTTTGTTGTTACTGTGTCTGGCATATCGAATACTCTCGGTAGCTTGCCGGGCTCTCCGAGAGGGGCGGAGGAATCGAACTTGGGTCGGCCATGTTGGCCGCTTGTAAGGCAAACGCCCTACCTGCTGTGCTATCGCTCCAGCCTGAGTTATATATGCTTCAAATTAAGGTAATAAGCCTATGTAACAGTGATGGAGCCAGAAAGATAGTCCGGCCAGTAGGGCACTTGCCTTGCATGAAGTCTACCCTGGTTCAATTCCCCTAGGACCTCATATAAATCCCCATAGCCCCACCAGGAGTGATCCCTGAGCACACAGAGCAAGGAGTAAGCCCTGAGCACCTCTGGGTGTGGGCAAAACAACAACAACAACGAAAGGAATGATACCTTTGACCCTGAAAAAATATCATTTATGTAAGAAACATCCTGTGACATACAATGTGACCAGATCATTGGATTGCAGAGTATTTTCTATGGATCACAAGTATTTTCTCATTTATTGGTCTTGTGAATAATAACAACATCTGACAACAGGACAATCTATCTCTGCCGGCCCTTTATATGGTATTTCTTAGTCTAGCCCTGAGACTTTTTCTTCTCATTTTTCTCTATTGAATACTTCCAGTATTATAACCTATTACTTAATAATCTCAGGATACTGCTTCATGAACACACATTTTATACTGGGTCCTGTACTCAGAAGTATTTGATATTTGGTAGTCTTAAAGCTATGTAGGTGCCAACTTGAAAATCTTAATGATATGATCTTTATTTATTTATTTATTGGTTTTTGGGTCACACCCAGCAATGCTCAGGGGCTACTCCTGGCTCTGCACTCAGGAATTACTCCTGGCGGTGCTCAGTGCTCATGCTCGAGGGACCATATGGGAGGCTGGGAATTGAACCCGGGTCGGCTACATGCAAGGCAAATGCCCTACCCGCTGTGCTATTGCTCCAGCCCCCTTAATGATGTGATCTTGGTTTGGTTTTGTTTAGGAGCCACCATCTCCAGTGATCAATCAGGTCTTACTCCTGGCTCTGCACTCAGCGATCACTCCCAGCATAGGGGACCATATGGGGTGCCAGAAATCAAACCCATTCTGCCATGTGCAAGGTAACTGCTGTCCCTACTCAACATAATCTTGATTTTTAAAAATATTTACTATTAGGGTAACATTATTACAGTAATGTTCATGGTCTTGGTTTACAAAGTCACTGCACTCCTAGCACCAGCAAAGTGACAAAGACCTTCACAGTTGTCCCAATGTCACTTTCAGTCTGCCCCCTTCTCTCACACACTAATCTCTCTCATCCCCAAGTGGTAACCTCCTTGTCTGGTTTTTGTTTGGAGTTTGTTTTTCGTTTGGTCAATTTTTGGTGTGGGGCCACACCCATCAATGCTCAGGGATTACTCTTGGCTCTGTCTGAGAAATCACTGCTGGGGGACTATAATGGGATGTCGGGGATCAAACCTGGGTTGGCCGTATGCAAGTCAAGCACCCTACCCAATCTACTATCCCCCAGCCCCCTGAGCGTTTGATTTTGTAATCCTTTCACCACCTTTACACACCTCGTTATCGGAATTAACCAGACAAATCGCTCCACCAACTGGAGCGATAGCACAGCAGGTAGGGCGTTAGCCTTACAAGAGGCCAACATGGCCGACCTGAGTTCGATTCCTCCGCCCCTCTCGGAGAGCCCGGCAAGCTACCGAGAGTATTCGATATGCCAGACACAGTAACAACAAAAGTCTCCAATGGAGACGTTACTGGGCCCGCTCGAGCAAATCGACGATCAACGGGAGGGCCTTACCTTTACACACCTATCCCCTTCCTCCATTTCCCATACACACCATCTAAATGAGAGTATCTTGCCTTTATCCTCCCTCTTACTTTGCTTAACATGACCTTCTAGTTCTACTGAAGTTATAGATAAAGGTAAGAATATTTTCATAGAGCTGAGTAGTATTTCATTTTATATGTGTATGTGTGAGATAGTTTATCCACTCATCTAGCATTAAATTATTTGAGTTGTTTCAGATTACTGCAATGGACACAGGTGTGCATAGTATCTTTTCAAAGTAAGGTTCGTGATCTTGCATTAGAAGCCAAGAAATAGAATTGTTAGGTCATGGGGTAGCTCTATTTTTCTGTTTTGAGAAGACTCTGTACTGTTTTTTTAAGACCATCATCCTAATAACAGTGAATAAACTTTTAACCACCTGCATGCCAACAGTTTGTTTCTGTTTTTTTTTTTGATGTATGTCTTTCTCAATGGTATGAGGTGATAGCTCAGTG